TGGCAGGCGCGAGTCAGGCCGATTTATGACGAAATTAAACACAGTGGCCGACACACTGTGTGTCACACAAAATCTCCCACACATGCGACGTGTCGACGGTCATTGTAACTTTAAAAAACTTCATCGCATGATTGTTTCATTATTGATGACCCCCAATACTAAGTAGGTCCAATTTACAGTACGTGAGCTAACTCAAGAAATGTCAACCGAAATTCCAAAATGCGCTTTCATTTCGAAAAGGTTAATTAAGTAGGGTTGTTAAACTAATCATCGTGCAGCATAATGCTAAAATAATTCAGTTACCTCAGAATGCCGGAGTTCGAATGAACTTCTTTCGACTGCATGCGAAAGCCATACTCTGTTTAAAATGATTACTTATGTAGCATAAATTCTTCTCATTGATTCTCGATGTCCTTAAAAATTCAGTTATATCTTATGGAGAACATCCATAAAGATATTCATTCTTTTGCACATTCGGTAGAAAATTACGTCTTCTAATTTTATGGTCGAATGAGGGGCATAATTCGGTTTTAAAAAGGTTTTGCGATTCCCGAATAATTTTGAATCCTCTCTACCGCTACATTTGGATGCAGGGTTTCCAAACTACAAGCGCATATTTTTTGCGTACAGAAAACTACACATTTCTCTACGGTATGCTTTCCATGATATATAATTGGTCATTTAGGGGCATCGAAGATCAATGAGAAAAATTCATGCTACTTAGGAAGTCGTTTATTACAGAGTGTGGTTTTTGCATGTGGCTGGAAGGAAGTTCATTCGACAGCCAGAATTCTGAGATAACTGAAATATTATAGAATTATGCTGCATGCTGACTAGTTTTACAACCCCACTCAATTAATCTTTTCGAAACTAAAAACGAATTTCGGAATTTCGTTTGACATTTCATGAGTTGGCCCACCTACTGTACAACTGGCAGGCGACACAATGTGTCACACAAAATCTCCCACATAAGTGACGTGCCGACCGTCATTGTGACTTTATCGCATGATTTTTGCATTACTGATGATGATGATGATGATGATGATGATGATGATGATGATGATGATGATGATGTTGATGCTGATGATGATGATGATGATGATGATGATGATGATGATGATGATGATGATGATGATGATGATGATGATGATGATGATGATGATGATGATGATGATGATGATGATGATGATGTTCAAACAATTGCTTTCAAGTATGCATTTATGACCGAACAGGGTCATATGGTAGTGAGCTATGAGCGGGAGAGTTTTGTCAAGTAAAGTGGTTCCCGAGGGTTTTGCACGACTTCTCGGTCCTGTTTCGGCGCATTTGAGGAATTACCACCAGACCAGTATGTGCCAGGGACTAGGCCGTTTGAAGCACACACACGACAGTTCGACCGTCGATTTCGACGATGTCCACCGTATGCCCCACAGACTGCATTGTGGAGCAGGGACGGTGACTTGCGCAGGGGTTTATAGTGCGGGTAGACTTGCGCTGCATCTACCTACACTCTCTCCTCCTCCCCCGCCTGGGTCCGGTGTCAAGACAGAGTCAAGAAGACCGGAGACGAGGGAGGCCGCAGGTGGATGGCTCGGACGGATCCTCAGCTTGGCGCTCCACTCCGCACCCCCTGGTCCACACACAAATGACCAGGATTTTGACCACAAAACAATGGGGTGGTGGCAGGTCCAGTTGTGCGACGAATGCCGACAACAGGGTCCGCCAACGCACCCCGCAAATGTTGGCATTTGTTATTACGCAAAGATAACGCCTGCCAGAGTCCGATGTGGCTCCCGTGTTGGTCCAGCGGATCTAACACGTGGCCCGTTTGGAGGGCACAGAAGCACACCCACACACACACACACACACACACGCACATCCACCTCCTGTCATTTTGTAACTGTCTTGATACCGGAGCGAAATTGCTGAGGGGAGGAGAGAATGTGGTAGGTGCTGTATAAGTCTGCCCCACCATAAAGTAATTCACGTGTTAGTCCCCGGTGCCATCCCCAATCCTTGAGGCACGCAGTGGTCGTCGTGGCTTGCGCTAATTGAACTGTGATATGTGAGAGGGATGTGCGTCTACAGGGTGAACAGGTTGGTGTAACCGGTTGAATACGTATATCGGTCATATGGGTACGTACAGGCGTGACATGCGTGATAATTGTCATGCACGCAGGTACGAGCGCATTGGTTTTCTAGGCAGGCGGTGATGGTCGGCCGGATTAGTTATGCTGTTATTTGGCAGGTCGTACTTTCGAAGAAGGCGAAACGGTGATCTTCAGTCAGTCTGTCACAGACGGCACAGAAGCAAAACGGAAAAGCATGATCACACACTCTGTGACTGTTCGACCATCGCGATTTCCACCATGAGTCCCTTAGAATGAACGCAGTACCGAGGACAGGCGCGTGAGTCAGGCTTGCGTAGCATCCATCTCACCGTCCCTTCCCTCACTAGCTTTACTCTGATAATACGACAATGTCAAGACGACCACAGGTCAGCGCGGGCGCAGTGGTCGACACAGATAGCCCATCCGTGTGCAGCACACACGATCTGGTCCGCATTACATGCGACAGTTCGGACAAGCGAAAGGCCAGGCCATCTTCATGCTAAATAGCCATCCATCAGCCTATGACAGTCCCCTTTGCCATATACCCGGCCGCTTCCACAAGCCTCCTCACTTGTGCTATCTCCCTTACTCAGTACACGCCCTATTTCTAATCAACATTCTGTTGTGCATACATAACAGTCTTGTTTTCATGGACTCCCGGAATATAATCGATCCCGTCTCACACAATATTCCGGTCAGTTAACGAAGAGCCTGAAAAGGTTTGTTTCGAAAGACTTGCTCCAAGTTCGCACATTAGTTTCCTCGGAAACTAAACAAGGCAAGTTGAAACTGGAGTTCATATACCAGAAAACACACGGGGAAGCTGGGGACCGGCTGACGAGCCGAACTCCTCGCATCTGCGTCAGGCAGCGGCATAAGATTGGCGAAGGACGCGCGTCTGGGCTTTCAGTTGATACCTGTGTTGTTCGAACGGTAAATCATTGCCCAATTCTATACTACTGGCTGCCTGCTGGCGGTTATTCCGCAGTAGCTGATGGATTTCAACTCAAATATTCATATCAAATTTCAAACTGTGCCTGAAAAGGCCTGTTTCGAAAGAGTTACTCCAAGTTCGCGCATTAATTTCCTCGGAAATTAAGCAAGGCAAATTTGTTCCTTTCCATTTGACCATATGTCAAATTGAGCAACGCAATCTTGACGTTGCAGTAATTCCTCAGGCGTCCGCAGCATAATTTCCTATAAACGTGGCGACTACTTAAGTATGTACGCTGGACAGGAAAGACCACTAATGTGCAATAATTTACCGTACTAACAACACAGGTATTAGCTAAAAGCCCAGACACGCGTTTTTCGCCGATCTTGTGCCGCTGCCTGACGCAGCTGCAACGGGTTCGGCTCGTCAGCCGGTCCCCAGCTTTCCCCGTGTGTTTTCTGATATATAAACTCCAGTTTCAACTTGCCTTGCTTAATTTCCGAGGAAACTAATGCGCGAACTTGGAGCAACTCTTTCGAAACAGACATTTTCAGGCACGGTCCAAAGTTTAGTATGGATATTTGAACTGAAAGCCATCAGCTACTGCGGAATAACCGCTTAATATTCACAAACCGCCAACAGGCAGCCAGTAGTATAGCATTGTGCAATAATTTACCGTACTAACAACACAGGTATTAGCTAAAAGCCCAGACACGCGTGTTTCGCCGATCTTGTGCCGCTGCCTGACGAGCCGAATCCCTCGCAGCTGCGTCAGGCAGCGGCACAAGATCGGCGAAACACGCGTGTCTGGGCTTTTAGCTAATACCTGTGTTGTTAGTACGGTAAATTATTGCACAATGCTATACTACTGGCTGCCTGTTGGCGGTTTGTGAATATTAAGCGGTTATTCCGCAGTAGCTGATGGCTTTCAGCTCAAATATCCATGCTAAACTTTGGACCGTGCCTGAAAATGTCTGTTTCGAAAGAGTTGCTCCAAGTTCGCACATTAGTTTCCTCGGAAATTAGACAAGGCATGGATGGATTTTATTCAGATCAGGTGATTTGGCACTCTTCTATCGGACGAATGCCAAACGTTTTTGTCACTTTGGTTGGTGGACTGGAGGAGGAACTTGATTCCAGTGTGACTGCCAAATGAAAAAAACACAGGAAAAACTGATGAATCGTTCAGCCACTAGTCTCTAGTGCTCCCATGTTCACGTTCGCCACCACTGACGGGCGTCAGGACAACCACCTTAACAGAAACCGCTAGACGCTCAGTAATGCGCTGAACAATAGCAGACGTCTCCAGCTCTGAGCAGTAGCTTAAACCATCAGCGGACGGTCCGAGGCTTTTACAACTGGTCGCAACTTCAGCGGACTGTTGTGAAAAGTAGTTCGTCTTACGTGTCTGGGCTGACGCACCCAGTTATACTCACAATGAAGCAAACATCAGTGTGATTATCCGGTCTGATTTCTTTAACACGCAGGTAAACAATCGTGTTCCTAAACTTCTTCTCACATTTACAACTTCGAAGCGGAAAGCACGTGTCGGCAAGCTTGTATTTGGCATTTCATAAATGGAATGCAAAAGCAGACTTCTCATGGAAAATTACGTGCACGATAAGGGAAAAGTCTTGTGGGTTTTGTGCTCTCGAACCCATCCTGTGTTTTCAAGAGACCTAAAAAGAATTAATAAGGTGTCGCAAGGGAAAGTCAATGCAATCTTCGGGCTTGTAATTCTGTTAGCAGCGACCGTTGATTTACCTATCCAACGGGAGGTTACTTTAAAGGGCATGCTTACTGCTAGCACACAAATTAATAAGGATCAGGAGCATAACAGTTCGGTCCACTGTGTGTATCACATCAGGGTGGGAACAGGGATGGTGACTGTAGCGTATGCTGCCTGGGCTGTCCGGACATCATGCTACATGCGCGTGACAGGCGAACGATCAAGGTCGTGCACCCCTGTTCAGGCCATCTTTGTGTTAATTGACCATCCATCAGCCTATGATATCCCCCCCGGCCATATATCCAGCCGATTTCACAAGCCTCCTCACTTGTGCCGTCTCTCGTACTCAGTACACGTCCTGTTTCCAACCAACCTTCTGTTTGGAATACATAACAGTGACTTGTGCCTGAATTCGCCTATAACGATAGTAGACCTGCGCAGCACCTTCCCCGCTGTCTCCTCCTCCTCCTCCTCCTCCTCCTCCTCCTCCTTCTCCTTCTCCTTCTCCTTCTCCTTCTCCTTCTCCTCCCCCCGCTGGGTCTGATGTCATGGCAGAGTCAAGAAGGCCAGAGGCGAGATCGGGCGCAGTGGCTTATAAGGCCAAACAATCCGTCTACGCGTGCCACACACGACCCGGCCGGCGCCGAATGGACCAGGTTTCCGCATGAAGATAAGGAAGGGGTGGCTCAGATCACACGCAAGTAGTCGTGTCATAGAGACTACGCTGGGCTGACTACGAAGTCCGAGTCATCCCCTCAGTTGGCAGCCTTCCAAACTAGGGCTTTTAGCACATCATGACAGTTTAAAATTTCGTCAAATTTATTATAGTGAGGAATGTGCTGGAGTGCCCTGAGGACAGATCCTCCAGAGTCGGCCTCACTCTCACCCTCCAGGCGCCACTCCGCTGTCCGAGACGGTCAGTTGTCTGATGCGATGATTTGACTCAGTGGCTGACAGGTCTAGAGGGCCCGTCTATGCGCGCCACATGCACGACCTGGCCAGCCAACGCGCACATCTCGATTGCGCACAAAAGGCGTAGAGTGCACTGGTCTTGCATGTGTGTGAGAGAGCCATTAAGAAAGAGCCATCACAGTCTGACTTTCAGTCCACGAGTCTGTCACTCAGCGTATGACTGCGAGGTCCGTCAACAATTGGCCGCCATCCAAGTCACGACTATTAGCTGACCATGGTTGTCTCAAACGTGTCAGATTGTTTCTATTAAGAGCCCACCGCTGGACCAGTCGACTGTCCGAGCCGGTCACTACGGGTACCAGGCTGTAATAGGAAGGATTCTGACTGCAATCAGAGAGGATGGCATAAAGGCCATATCAAGAATGGTACATTGCAGCACGACCCCCAAGTCCTCCAATCGCCAGAACAAGCTCTAATGGGAAACAAGTTATCCCGTCGATTGACAAACTTTCGAGCGTCGACTCTTAGTGCAAAGTGAGAGATTTGAGTGAATCAGGTTTATTTGAATGAGTAGTGTTCTGATGCGCCATGGGGATGGATTTTCCAGTGGTAGAAGGGCGCACACCGGCAGTTTCTACGGAACTCACTCGTCTCGTTGTGCCTTACGGGGTCTCTCTTAAGCACAACCAGCAGCCGCACAGCGGCGCATGGTATAGGCAGAATGGTATTACCTATGACGACTAACAAGCCAGAAATGGTCATGCCAGTCTCCCTTGTCTTTGTCGGTAACGCCATTCTGGATTCTCCAGTGTCGACCCCCATTCCCTCTTCGCTCTCTTTCTCTTAGCAGTCGACTTTCGGAGTTTATCAGTTGATTAGTGATTGGATTGGACGCAATGACTGACAGATCTAAACTCCTGAAGAAGGAGGCACGATCGCTGGGACAAGAGCTTTATTAGCCTGGCGTTTCGGATTCCTGCTCGAACCCATCATCAGAGACAAAAGCAGGTACGGGTGGTTCATGCACAGGGGCTGAAGTATTTATAGAATGTAGTCGCCATGCTACCGCATACCAATGAATATTCACGGCTCCCTCCCCTTCATCAGGGATAGTTGCACGTGGTGTAATAAATGCTTGATGGTCGACATTCGCGTCGTTTATTGCTGCAATTTCATCACGTGCTTTGGATGTTGGTGTGGTGATTGCTCGACCATCTGACGCGCTGACGCTGGTATTGAAAACAGTGTTCACCTATGCACTTCCCGCGTGGCTAATTACTCCGCCTAGGCGAAGTCTCAGCATTGAGTATGGAAGGGGAAGGTAGCTGCGCTTGTTAATGGACTGGGGGCCAGTAAACCACGACTCAAGCAGCTCCCGGCTCACGCGGTTGTCACCCCTTGCAAAAATTTCGGCCTCGTCAAATTTGAATGTGTGGCCAGATCTCGTCGAATGAGCCGCAACTTGAGGGCTAGCGGCATTTCTCCGCACCGCTGCAGTGTTTTCTGCCATTCGCGTCTGGAGCTGTCTTGCGATTTCCCCGACGTAGTTGCTTTGTCCGCAATTGCACCAGATCCGATAAACGCTTCTACTGACAGACCAAAACCCCTCGTCTTCGTGTACAGCGCCCGTGCATTGCTCTACACTTGGAGAACACAAATGTCTAACATATAGGTGAAAAGACGATATCCACTTAAAAATTTCCGCTGTCTGAACGACCAGTTGTATCTGCCCGTTTTTCTCCAAGTCTTGTGTTGAAGCCTAGTTAATGGATGAAAACTGTCTTCTGAGTGTCGTAGGTGGTTACTTTGAACCTGGCTTACCCAGAGTTAAAATGGCAACGACTTCCCTAAGAGCCCGCATAAATCGTGTTTTTTTCATTACCGAGTTACTGAGAACTGTGAGGCAAGTAATTGTGGTCTCGGAGGAATTTGAGGTAGTCTCTACACAGCGAATGTTGCCGATGTTTGTTTGATCCTTTCGACAGGTTATTGTCGACAGTGCAGATGACCTAATGCTGAGGAGATTTGGGTAGAGAATACAGTCCTCCATCTCGAAGTCATCCGATGTTGTCTTGCCGTACATGAGTCGTCATTATACCGTTATCCAAATGTCCGACAATTTAAGAGGGAGGTGGAACTAAACCAAACCCCAGCTTCCAAAGGAGGACGCCTGTTGACGGTTTCATTACAGACCGATGGCTGAGGGGACATCTCAATCTCACTTCACTTTCATCACATGGGTCGTTCCACCTCATTTAAATAACGACGCGGTCTAGGTGACTTAAGAGCCGTACTTTTTCCTGACGGTCGCAAAGACACTTTTTAGTTAGCCACGGTGTGTGTACACTTGACGTTTCTCGGCACATCCACTTAATCAGTCCCCGTCCCCGGTTCGATCTTTACTGAAGCGTCTGTTATTGAGATTTAGGTGTCAGGAGAATAGGGCTTGTTTATGGCAATCGTGCTTGTCGTATTTGCTTTGGGAAGTTTACTCATTTCAGAAAGGATAGGTTGGAGTTCGTCCTCCCCTTCGCTTAAAAAATCCTGTCGCCTCCGGCTTTTCTCGGCCTCCAGAACCTGACTGGTGAGATGGAGTCTGTATTCAGTTATGCCAAATACTGCTGTGTTTAACGCTGGTAATGTTTCATTCTCCTGCGGCAATCTCTGTGGATAGGTTACCAACCTCGTTTTTGAGTGTCAGGCAGTGGTTGGTCCAGCAGTCATTATTTTCGTCACCTGGACACCTTAACGGTTACATCTTCTGAAGGGCGCATAGAGCGCTTGATGCCAGTGGAGTCAACGGGTCTAAATATATCCAATATTATTACATTCCAGAAGGCGGAGTATAATATTATCGGTGGGGACATTGCTGGTGAGACAGGTTTTCAGCGTCCGTTTCTAACCACAAGACGTTCAGTCCTTGTTTTATCGGTTTTCAGCCAACCTGCCACGTATCCATGTTAAAGATAACTGTCACTATGGAAACACCGTTCTAAGACGGCGAAATAACCAGCCATTCATTAGGTTAATAAGGTTGTTAGGGCAGCAAATTTATCAGTTAGTTTAATACGGATAGGGTTAGTGTTGACACCTGCGATGGCAAATCTCTCAAAATGCAATAAAATAACTACTCATTTTGACGCAGTAGAAGAAAAATAAAATTGGTAGACTTCATTTTTTTGCATTCACAACCGAGCTTGATAAGGAGCAAAGTCCAGTAGAGTTTAGACAGGCCCAGCTGTGCGGAAATATTTGCCAGGAGTTAACCCTTAAGGAGACGCAATAAATTATGTATCCTTGTCGATAATGGGTTAAATCATTCGTGTACGCATCAGTAGAGAGATTTGCTTGCTTACCCTAATTCTATTCGTTCCTATTCAACTCGAGAGACAAACTACATTATGGGAAATTTGCGATTACCATTTTGAGAGACGAATACAGTACACAAACTTGGTCTGACCAGCCCTTCACAGTATTTCCCAGTACTCCAAAATCATATTGTTTTTTTACATACTTATAGCACTTTAGACGACTAAACTGCAGCAGGCGAATACCAACACCTGAGAACTTTAGAATCAGTCTACGTTAGGATAATCCTTATCTGTAATTTGTGAGTAAAAGTATTGTTTTGCAAAACCTCGACTGTAGGCGAATATATTCCTGCTCTTTAATAGATCTGCTGCTACAGTAGACAGAAACGTGTTCGAGCGGATAGGGTGCCTTAAAGACCAAATAACGAAGAAGCCATCGTAACCCGACTCTCAGGCAAATAACCAAGTCGGAGAAACTGGAAGGGTAATCTGGACGCGACATCAATGACGAGGAACGACGCCAGCTCTCAAGTCGCGACTTATTCGACGGGACCCAGTCACACACACAAGTTTGACGAAACAGAAGTTCTTCCTAGGGGTGGCAACCACGTGAGCCGCAAACTGCCAGAGTCATGGTTTACCGGTCTTCAGTCAATCAACAAGCGCAATGACCTCCCCGCTCCATATTCGGCGCTGAGATTTTGTCTAGGCAAATTAGTTCGCCGCGAGGAGAGCGTGCGGATAACCACTGTTCCTAGTGCCGGCGAGCTCTCGAGCCGTGATGGACTCAGGAGCTGCCAACTGCGATAGGCAAGTAGCGGCCTATCAACTACATCCTGTAAATACTGTAACACTTGGGCAATTTACTACCCTTATCTGACTTTGTCTCTGATGGTGGATTCGAGTGAGAATCCGAAACGTCAGGCTAATAAAGCTCTTGTTGCAGTGATCGTCTCTCCTTCTTCGAGAACCGTGTACGTCTGAGGTCGTCTTGATGGCTGTGAATAGCGTCGAAGCCTCGTTCAGAAATCATTCTGTTTCGGCAAAATTTTGGTGAACTAAGTCAGCTTCGTTTTCGTCAGAGCAAAAGTGGTCACTCTGCAAAGGAAACACACAGGTTTGCTGGCGGTATCATTTCGCGTTTTTGAGTAAAATTAGAAATTAAAGCAGTACATGGCCGATCCCATAAGATGCTGCCCTAAATTCTGAAGTGCGTTTTCGATAAGGAAGGACCACTTAAACATGGTTCTAATACTGATTATCTCGCGACATAATTCTATAATATTTCGGACTCGGTAGGATGTTGGATTTAAATGCAATG